TCTCTCTCTCTCTCTCTAGCCATATTCTTTTTAATTTTATTTTTTTTTGGGTTTATGCATGGTTTTCCTGGATTGCGTCTTTTGATTGAATGCTTAATCCTCTGTTGTCTTGATAAGTTTTTGTCATTGATGCTCCGATACTGAAAATTTTCTGTGCATAACTTCCTAAATTCATATTTTGAGTTATTAGTGTCTCGGGTGTCTAAGGTGGTTTTAAGAGAAATTGGAAGTCTAAGGTGTCTAAGGACATCTAAATTCAAGATTTAACTCGTGGAAACCTCTGAAAAGTGGAAGATAAGGTTAATTTTTTTTGTTTTCAATGATTGGATTGCCACAAATATGAAATTCTATTAGCATGTAGCCTATAAGAGGTATAAGCATAGCATATAATCAGAGTTCTCTCAACTGTTTGGTATTAATTCTTACTATCTCAGTTTTTGTCTATAATGTAAGAACATTATTTTTTGGGTTACCTGGATTGGATTTCTGCTCTTTAAGATGTACTTTCTTTAATAATCCGGGAAAAATTTATTGCCACAAGCAGCTTCAACAGTTCCGAGACTAAATGGGGCAGCAGAGAGCAATACCTCTGTTTTCGTAAGACTATCCCTCACTAGTTCTATTATTTCCTTTATACTCTTTATATTGTTAACAATGTCAAAAAGTGTTTTTTTTTAGTTTAATCAGAATTTTGAGGGGACCAAAGAAAGAATAAAGAAGATGTTCAAAAAGGTTGATCTCTCTGTTTCATCATATGACACTGCTTGGGTGGCAATGGTCCCTTCTCCAAATTCTTCAAAGGACCCTTTTTTCCCTGAATGTGTAAATTGGTTGTTGGCAAATCAACTCCATGATGGCTCATGGGGTCCAAAGTTTCATCCCTTGTTAATCAAAGATGCTCTCTTATCTACCTTAGCATGTATCCTTGCACTAAAGCGGTGGAGTGTTGGCGAAGAACAAATTAACAAGGGTATATGTGTTGCTCTTGCTTCATGCTTAGTTTCCTTCATGCTGTACTAATGAACGCCTCTCTTGTTCTTTTAGGGCTACGTTTTATTGAATCAAATTTAGCTTCAGCTACCGATGAAGAGCAACAATCTCCTGTTGGATTTAATATAATATTTCCTGCCATGATTGAATCTGCAATGAATTTCGATATGTATCTTCCCCTAGGAGCACCAACCCTAGATGCTTTATTTCACAGAAGAGACTTTGAGCTTAAAAGGTATGTCTTGTTTTCTTTAGAGGAACAGATATATACAACAGTAGAGTATAGTTCATATGCTCGTTACAACAAATGGAATTCACTGAAATTGTGAAGTGAAAAATCTCTGTTCGAAATATTTTAGAGGCTATGGAAGCAACTCAGAGGGGTGGAGAACCTTCTTAGCATATATTTCAGAAGGACTTGGCTCACAGGATTGGGAGTTGGTCATGAAGTACCAAAAGAAGAACGGGTCCTTGTTTAATTCGCCATCAACCACAGCTGCTGCTTTTACTCAACTTAAGAATGCTGATTGTCTTAAGTACCTACGTGCACTCTTAGAGAAGTGTGGCAATGCAGGTTCTTCACTCAGTACTTACCATTAATTTTCTAGGCGTGTTTATTATATTAGGTTGAAGTTTAATCGATTATTTTCGATTACCCCTTTCAGTTCCAACGGTTTATCCTCTGGATAACTATGCTCGTCTTTCTATGGTTGCCAGTCTTGAAAGTTTGGGTATTGATCGACATTTCAGGGAGGAAATAAGAAGTGTACTGGATGAAACATACAGGTAATGTTTCCTATACATGTATGCACCAGTAAATGGTGTGCTTGGCTTTAGCTTTTGTGAAACATTAAGTTTAGACAGATTGTAGCTCTCTTCCATGGGAAAGCATGACATTATCCAATAAACAGATGCTGGCAGCAGGGGGAGGAAGATATATTTTCAGATGCTGCCACCTGTGCAATGGCATTTCGACTCTTACGTGTTCATGGATATGATATTTCTGCAGGTATTTGTCGGTTTAGGTGCCTTAGTGTGTAGGACTTTGTTTTGGCAAGAAATGTTCAGTTGATTTATGCTGTCTTGCAGATCCATTAATAAGTCAATTTTCAGAAGATCGTTTCTTCAATTCCCTTGGGGGGTATATGAAGGACATTAGTGCTGCCTTAGAATTTTTTAAGGCTTCAGAAATCATCATACATCCAGATGAATCGGTTCTTGAGAAACAAAATAACTGGATGAGTCATTTCCTGAAACAGGAGTTATCCAATACTTTAACTCAGGCTCGTAGACTCAATAAGCATATTGGCCTGGAGGTAATTTTGTGATAAGTCTCTGTTGTTGATCTGGTGATGTAGCTTTTTATAATCACAAGGTAATTCCCTCAAATATCACCTTTTGATTATTTGAAGGTGGATGATGCTCTTAAGTTTCCTTTCTACGCAAGTTTGGGCCGGTTATCAAGCAGGAGAGCAATAAAATCTTACAACACAGAGAGTACAAGAATTTTAAAATCATCTTATAGGTAAACCTCTAGTATTTCCTCCTGTCTCTCTCTTCTTCTCCCTCTATTTTAAGAAGAATTTGATTTCTGCCAAATTATTATGAGGGATCAATGTAGATTACTTATTTATCCTTGTACTCTCATGCTAGTTGTTTGAATATTGGAAATGAAGATTTTCTAAAACTGGCAGTGGAAGACTTCAACATTTGCCAGTCTATACACCATAAAGAGCTCAACCATCTTGCAAGGTAGATATATCCACTTGACCTTGATTTCAATTGAAACAAGGGAAATGCAGGTCGTGGAGGTGGTTGCTTTCGTTGTTTTAAGGCAATTCAGAATATCTCTATTTTATTTTGTTTGATTATTTACGATGTCCATCCATCTAAGCAGGTGGGTTGTGGAGAACAGATTAGACAAGCTAAAGTTTTCTAGGCAGAAACAGGCCTGCTGTTACTTCTCTGCTGCTGCAAACCTTTTCCCTCCTGAACTATCAGATGCCCGCATGTCATGGGCCAAAAATGGAGTGCTTACAACTGTGGTTGATGATTTCACTGACGTTGGAGGTTCTGAAGAAGAGCTGGTAAACCTTATACAATTGATCGAGAAGTACGTTTCCTGTTCCCATTCCCTATTTCCATTGGATCAATTTGTTGGTCAGCAATTTATGCTTGTGCTCCTTATTTTGTTTTTCTGGCATTGAGGGCCTAAAGTTCCTTGTGTCTGAACCTCAGGTGGGATGTGAATGTGAGCGTTGATTGTTGTTCCGAGCATGTTGAAATTATATTTTCAGCACTTAAGAACACAATTAATGAGATTGGAGTCAAGGCATTCGTACGACAAGGACGCAGTGTGACAAGTGACATAATTGAGACTGTAAGTTAAAATCTTTTAATTCTCCTTTCTAAAAGCACACAGTCTTCCTCTATCAACAGCTTCTTTTATCAAGTTCAACTTGTTTTTATTCATTTAACTAGGGATGAAATGAGCTATGTCTGATTTTCAGTGGTTGGATTTGCTCAAGTCTGGGCTGAAGGAAGCTGAGTGGTTGAGAAACAAGTCGGTGCCAACGATGGAGGAGTATATGACAAATGGATATATATCAATTGGCATTGGACAAATTGTCCTTCCAGCTCTCTATTTTGTTGGGCATGAGCTTTCAGAGGAGGTTGTAGGAAGTTCCGAATTGCATGAGCAGTATAGACTCATGAGCACCTGTGGACGTCTTCTGAATGATATCCAAGGCTTCAAGGTAGACAATATCCCCCACATTATTCTTTCGAAAAGAAAAACTAGTATCCAATTTGTTATCGTTAACTCATAACTCCTGGCTGTGTTGCAGAGGGATTCTGCTGAAGGGAAGCTAAATGCTCTATCGTTGACCATGATTCATGCGAACGGTGTCGTTACTGAAGAAGAGGCCATCAATGAGATAAATAGTATTATAAAAAGTAAGAGGGGAGAGCTGCTACGATTAGTTTTACAGGAGACGGGTAGCATAGTACCAAGGGCTTGCAAGGATTTGGTTTGGAACATGAGCAAAGTGCTGCACTTTTTTTATGCCAAAGATGATGGATTCAGTGCACATGAGATGATGCAAAGTGTAAGTGCAGTAACTGAGGAACCCATCATTCTCAGTGAATTGTAAGTAAAAGTAAATAAATGGCATTTGAATTGAAGTTGCAAGCAGCAAAGAGATACATAAAACAGTATGGAAACGTGGATGTGGTTGATCAAGTTTGGACGGAAAACAATCTTAGATTGCTAGTTTATGAATTCTAATTGGTAGAGCAGAGCATATTCAAATGCATCGATTGAATCATTACATGGACTGCGTCAGCCGTCAGCCGTCAGGCAAATTGAATTCAGCCCCGTTTGTCTGAGTCACAGCTAATAACACCAACACCTTTTGTGATGGACCAGCTTAACAGTAGTATGCAGAAGGTTGTCTCAGTGATATCATAGACAAGATATCATGCATAATCCACTGATAAATAACTTGGTGCTTTCTAGGATTGTTGGGTTAGGTTGAATTATCAATCAATTTAGATTATGTTGTTTTTCATCAAGTTTATCACCCAAATCAGTTAAGCTTAATGAGTCATTCTCTTATATTAGTCAAGTGTGGAAAATCAATCATATAATTATCAAGCACAAAAGAACACACCCAAAAAAATATAATTGCAAACGCACGGGCTAGACAACCCGGACTAGTCACACCACAAACAAACCAAATGAAAAAAGAAAAGCTAAGTAAAGCAGCAAAAGAGGGACCAAACAGCCGTCATGAATCATGAATCATGATAAGGCGAACAGTCCTGGGTAGTGAGAGACGAAAGACAGACGTTTTGCACAAGTGAGAGTAACACCCTCCCACTTTGTAACTCCTTTGATCGATTGATTTTATTTTTAAATTGGACGGTCTACTATTTATAGGCCCTACCTATGTGGGGACCACCTCTATTAAAGAGGAGTCCAGATCTCCAGCGCTATTGTCTCTCCACTTCAACCACCTAAGAGAGAAAAGGCCTGACGACGATGTATGAGGTTTTATCACAAAAAGCATCAGTGTAATTAACAGTGGACAAAACTATATTTGAATTGTAAATTATTATGTATTCTCCAATGTGAGACTTTTTCGATAAACAATGAAGTTTTGTTGAACACGAACATACATATATGTATGTGTGTATATATATTATTGAATTACAATGCCAAATGGGGCCCTCATTTTCTGGAAACAATAGAAATCTCTCTCTGGAAGGGCCATGTATGTATATGTATGTATACATTTATCAATTGTTTTATCATGATTGATTATTAATCAAGTTTTTTTTATTGTCATTGCAGAAGAGAACAAAGGTAAAGAGCTTCTGAAGATGAATAATATTAACCTGGCAAAGAAAATTCAAAACCAGGTGGCGCTTTCAGGTGGTCCCGGGAACGGGATAAATTAAAAAACATTCGTATATTATATATTTGAAACATCTACTGTCTGACCCTTCTCAAATTTGGCATGTATTGTATATGATTGCATTTGAATTTTATAGGACTGTAAGGATTTGTTTTGGAATATGAGGAAAGTGTTTTTCACACCAATTTTATACAAAGCATGATGGAGAGCGATTCACTGCACATGATATGAAGACGGTAAATGCAGTAACTGATGATGACCCCATCATTGCCGGTGAATTGTAACAGTGCTAATTGGGCACCTTAGTTGATTTAGGTTGGTGAGCTCTTGCTTGACATCCTTGATTGTTGTAGGTATTGGCTAATTGAAGCTTCTTCCTTAGGCGATCTCCAATGCAAATGGGCCTATAAATTCAAAATTTTCACTTCCAAATACAACTATATGCCTGGACTCAAACATTTTTTTCTCTCCAACGATAAAGATTCAAACTTTAAATCCCCAACTTTATTAAATTGTTTTAAAATGATTTAACCCTTTTTCTTTTGTGGTTAATTTTTCTTGATTTTATTTTTGTTTATACATTCATGATTTTCTAAAAATTTTAACCTAAAAAATTGAAATTCCATTAAAATGGAAGGAAAGAGTCATGTGGAATACATTTTTTTTCTTAATTATTTCTTTCTCATTCAACTCTTGGGATACATAATTGTAGTAGTGTAATCTTATAATTTAACCTGCCAACGAGGTTTAACTCAGTGAAAAAGGGCATTGATTTGCAAACTGGTAATCTCAGGTTCGAACCCCTATGACACTTGATAGTGTGTGTGAGAAACAACCCTCCTCATTGTAGTTTAGACTATTGATTGTATTAAAAAAAAAAAAAAAATCATTTAGTATTGGTTTAACCTTAATTATAATGGCATTAAATCCTTAACTTTAAAATACTTCCATCCAAATGGACCCTTAGATTATATCTTATAGTTCTCTCCAAATATATTATATCTTATAAGTGGCTTTGATGCTGGAGCATATGGGGTAGATCAAGATATATATTTATTGTTTAATTAGTTATTCCATGAGATATTGTTATTTTCTTATTTAGGTAGTTTTAGGTAGAGGTGTACGTCGGTTCGAAACCAATATAATTTAGTCAATCCGCATCCGATCTAATATAGATTGGATTTTAATTTTATCAATCCGATCCAATCTTATTAGATGTTTAAATCCAATCTGATCTGATCCAATTGATATTGGATTGGATTGAATGATCGGTTTGATAATTGAAAAAGACAATAATGAAATATTAAACATTTATCCTTAGATTTAATTAATCAAACATGTAATTTTGTGGCTCACCAATTAGCCAAATTTGCTTTATCTTGTAATGAAACATGTTACTGGATGGAAGAGGGGCCTAGCTGGCTTCACTCTTACCTTCAGAATGATTTGCGTTCTTTACATTCTACTGAGGAATAAAGTCATTGGCCTTTGGCCTTTAATCAAAAAAAAAAAAAAAA